GCCACATCAGGATTGCATTAACAAGAATAGTGATCTCCATAAAACTTTGATGTCATCTCTTACAGGTAGAGAATTCAGTCAGTCAGTCTTTCCAGTGTAGGCTTTGTATATGAATGATGGCAGAATATACAGTTGTTGTTGAATGCCATGGAGTCAGGTCTGACCCATAGCAATCCTGTCCAGGGTTTCCAAGGAGAGGCTGGTTAGTTTGAACCGCCAACCTTGTGGCTCAAATTGACTTTGCAGTCCAGCACACTAACCCAGAGCACCACACCAGGACTCAGAGTATATAGTAGTAGTTGGAAGTAAAAATTGGGCATCCCCTACTTGGGTTTGACTCTATCAGGCATTTCCACTTACAGGTTCTGTGATCCTGGTGATGTTAACTAATCCTCTAAGCCTTGGTTTCCTCTCTCTACAATGGGAACAATAATACTTCATAATTTTGTATAAGCATTAAACAGAATGTTGTTGTTAAGTGCCATGGAATCGGGTCTGACTCATAGCAATCCTTTATAGGGTTTCTAAGGAACTGCCATTTGAACCACCAATCATGTGGCAATGCTTATCCTACAGCACCACCCCAAGACTCCAATTAAATAGAATAATACCTATGCATTGCTTAGCATCATGCCTGGTAATAGGGGTTCTATAAGCATTAGCTGCTAACTCCATAGGATTCAATTTCCAAAAGGAAATCAGATTTCTACTAATGATCAGTTATTGAATTATGGAAGCGCAAAGTCGACTGATGGGCCAGGTCAAAGTGCATCTTTTTACATGTGCTACATCATAATTTTAAAGTCTTTCAGGTTGTAGTTAAGGTTCTATAGCAATTATTCTTAACCTTGGTCACATATTCAGATCATGTGTTATTGTGGTTAAGTGTTGCTGAGTCAGTTCTGACTTGTAGCAGTCCTGTAGAGAGTTTCCAAGGAGCTACTAGTGGGTTTGAACTGCCAATCTTGTGGTTAGTAATTCAGTGCTTATCCTACAGTGCTACACCAGGACTCCTGATCATATGGCATGTGCCATGGAGTTGTTGCCAACTCCTAGCAACCCTGTATAGGGTTTCCAAGGTTGTAAATCTTTATGGGAGCAGAAAGCCTCATTTTTCTCATGTGGAACGGCTCCTAGTTTCAAACTACTAACCTTGAGGTTAGCAGGCCAACTCTTAACCACAACGGTACCAGACCCTACTGCCCAGGTCACAGTCCAGACTAATTAAATCAGTGTCTGAGAGAGGGGCCCAAAACATCAGAATTTTTTTATAGCTTCTTGGGTGATTTCAAATTAGTAGCTAAGTGCCATTCTCATTTGCTCTAAAATTCTGAACCTAGTATGTAGTTCCATTAAATGTAGAAAAGTATTTCAAATAAACAGTGCCCAGTCAGTGCCATGATGAAGTTTTCCATAAGAAGCTAAGAGGTTTCTATAGAAGTCAGTGCTGAAAGTGCTAATTCTTATCTATCCTACTTTGGAAGGGTCTCAACAAGCTCTGTGTTCTTAGCAAAGCCCTGTAGAGAAAGCCTGCCCTAAGGAATTTCAGCTCACTTTAACTTATTTAGAGTAGCACTTGGTTGTTTCTCTCATAGCAAATATATTAGTAGTGTTCACAATAGATGTATTATTTATACCAACCTCTGAAACAATTCCACAACGTCACTGAAACATTATTAGTTTATTGATTTATATCCCTTGTATCAGATTTAATTTGCAGTTAGCAGCCAATTATGCCACATGACTTTAACTTAAAAGTCAGGCTCTACGAGATCAAAAATAGTGAACTCTAGGCAAAGTGGTGAACTAGAACCCAAGGAAAATAAGGGAGACAAGAAAAGAAACAAAAACAAAAAGCTTGCATCAATTAAAACTTGCTCACATCAAGAGCTTCAAGGATTACTGAAGTACTCTTTTTTTCTTTTTTTTTTTTTACCAAGTGTTTTCTATAAAATATTGACCAGCTCCAGAAATGCATATTTTAAGCAATTCTAAAAATTACCCAGCATAGTAGATGAAAAGGAAAGGAAACTGAGAGTACAGAATTGCTTCATCCTCTAAAAGGAGTTTTCACTTCTCATTATTCTGTGACACTCTAAAGGGACCAGGAACTAATTGTGAGTTACTCCCCACTGAAATCCTGAATCATGTTCATGTGTGAAGCAGTGACCCCAGAATGCTGAGCTCTCCTCTCTGCCCATCTTGGCTGGCCAATTCACTGGGATCACACTGCTTGAGTAAACTAGATGATAGACTCAGTTACAAACTTTTTCTACAACAGAGTGCTCAGTTTATTTATAATCACACACATATTTACATACAGATGTTTCACTATATATTATAGAAACATGTTGTTGTTGTTAGGTGCCATTGAGTCAGTTCCAACAGAAAGAACAAAGCTCTACCTGGCCCTGCCGCATCTTCACAATCATTGCTGTGTTTGAGCCCATGGCTGCAGCCTCTGTGCCAATCCATCACGTTGGGAGACTTCCTCTTTTTTTTTTTTTTTTTTTTCTGTCCCTTTACTTTACCAAGCATGATGTTCATGTACAGGGACTGGTCTCTCCTGATAACATGTCCAAAGTATATGAGATGAAGTCTCCCCATCCTGGTTTCTATGGAGCATTCTGCTGTATGCCTTCCATGACTGAGACGGTCATTCTTTTGGCAGTCCATAGTATATTCAGTATATACACATGTATATGTGCACCTAAGAGCTGTGGTAGCACAAAGGTGCTATGGGATAAAGTACTGGACCACAAGGTCGGTTTGAACCAGAAGGTCAACAGTTCAAACTCACCAGCCACTCCTTGGAAACCCTAAAAGGGTCACTAGGAGTCAGAACCAACTCGATGGCCCTTAACAACAACATTGGAAAGAGTGATTGTTCAAAACCCTTCAGTGGCTCTGTGGGAGCAAGAGCTAACAATCTGCTCCTGTAAAAACTACAGTCTAGAAAACCCTGTGGGAAATTTCTGTGTTGTCACATGTGATCACTATGAGTTGCAACTGACTTGGTGGCACCTAACAACAATGTGTGCATACCTGTGTGTGTATGAAGGGGCTTCAAAACGTTGGTGGAAAATGAAATGAAAAGATAATAGAATTGCTCCTTAAATGCACCATATAAGTACTGTGTATTTCTCATTGAAAATAGCTAACAAGAAAAGTATTGCTCTATTGCATGTCCCTACCTAACTTCTCTTTTTGTTCTATAATCGGGGGACTCCATCATCAATTCCTCTTTTTCCTTACTCATCTGCCAAGTCTTTTTCTCCATTCCTTATGCCAAGATTCTCTGGCATAAACACCTGTGGCTGCCAACCCATCCTGCTATTGTCCTAACATAAGCAACCAGAAGATGGCTATTCGGCTCTGTCCTTGCAATTTGCTTTGTATATTCAGATGCCAGCTGCCTGCAAAGTAACTAAATAAACCATTCCTTCTTCTGGTGAAGTGAGACTAACTACCTAATTCTCAGGCTACTGTTGGTAAGAAAATCCCTGGAGCATTACAAAGAACTGGTTTTAAATGAGCAGCCCAGGTGGACCTGTGGTTAACCAAAATGCTCAGCTGTTAACCAAAATGCTCAGCTGTTAACCAAAAGTTTGATGGTTTGAACCCATCAGCTACCTCATGGGAGCGAGATGTGATAATCTGCTTCCCTAGAGATTTACAGCCTTGGAAGTCCTATGGGGCAATTCTGCTCAGTTCTGTGGGGTCTCTCTGAGTCAAAATAGACTCGGTGGCAGTGAATATAGCGAGAAATGATGGAGTATGATTTGCACTTTTCTATAAGTTATATGGAGATGGATGTTAGAGCATGTTCTGTTCCACTCATTTCATTATGGCTGAGAAGTCTTGTTATTTCCTAAACAGCTAATGAATCAGCTCTAAGCTGGTCTTCTAATTTAAATATACTGATCGACATGAGGATGTGCAAGCTTGATGTATAGGACATTGTTCTAAAGACCTGTGTTCTAAAACAGATAGTCTGGATGCTGTATGTAGTGAGAGTTAGAATCTGTGCCCTGACTCAGCCACTAACTAGCCTTGGGAACCCGGGCAAGTCACCCAGCATCTCTGCCCTTAGTGTCCCCATTGGTGAAATGGAGATAGTGACAACTAATTCATGAAGCACTTACTAAGTCAATCAGTGTTCTCATCATCTTTACATCAGTCCTGTTAAGTTGGTACTGTTATCATTGTCCCTCATTTTAAAAATGAGGAAACTGAGGCACAAAGTGGTTAGGTTTCTTGCCTATAATCCCAAAGCTGTATATGAAGTCAGGATTCTCCCATAGCAAGAACCAGCTGCTTCCCCCATCTCAATAAATTGCGATGATTAAATCAGATGACATATTTGGAAGTAAATTAACATGTTATTAACCTTCATGAAGCTCATGATTTAAAATGAGATAATAATGCTCTAAATCTTTGATAAGGAATAGGAATAAAGCAGTTATAATACTCAGAATAATTTATGACACATGTCTGGTTGGCGCAGTCAGCTAAGCACTAGACTGCTAAACAAAAGGTTGTTGGTTCAAACCCACCAGCCATTCCTTAGAAACCCTATACAGAATCACTATGTGTCAGAACAGACTCGATGGCACTTAACCACAACAACATATATATATGATTATTCATCAGTGGTAGATGCTAATATTATTATTATTGATATTAAAATAATTAGGTGCCAAGAAAAGTTTATTCATCTCTCTCAATTCTCAAGGAAAAGATAGAAACATTGTATATAATGTTAATGTTAATTATAAGCCACAGAAGACACCTTTTTATTGAGTTCAAGAGAAAAAAAACAAACACATTAATTATATTAAAAAGGAAGTAGAGTGAGATTTTTTTTTCTCTTTCCTCTTCACCATTTCCATAACACTCAAAGCACAATTTCCCTTTTAAATCAGAAGAAATAGTGTAATATGATCTATGCTAATCTGCTGCTATAAGACTAACATTGTTTTCCCTTTTGTTTCTTACAGATTTTTGCATACATGAGTAAAACCTCTTCCCGACAGGAAAAATGGGACCTCCAAGCACTTAGATTTTTATCAATTAATTCAATAATTGATCCTTGGGTCTTTGTCATCCTTAGGCCTCCCGTGCTGAGACTGATGCGTTCAGTTCTCTGTTGTCGGGTTTCGTTAAAAACACAAGATACCATACAAACTTCCTGTTCTACACAGTCAAATTCCAGTAAACAGGCTGACCTTTGTGGACAGTAATTAAGAAGTACTTAGTTAGCCAGCATCTGGAAGATCATTTTGAAATGATTCCTTGGAGAAATGAAAAGAAAAAAACAATTAGTGTATCTCCAAAATGAAGCTACGCTAATAAAACAGAGTAAACAGATCAGTAAGCAGTAGTTTGGGTTATAGATGTGTTGACAAGGCACTTCATGGAAGGTGCCAGAAAGTTATCTATAACATCTACCCTTAATGAGCATGTTACATGGCCTTTATAAGAACAGCCCACTGCATTTAAGAGCCAGTTGCCCTTACATTTAAGCTTTCCTGTTGAATGAGAAAGCATGTGGTTTTACAATTTGTTTATTGTCTCTTCTATTTTAATCTTCTATGCTACTACATTATAAACTTCTATACTACTACATTACATTGTATACAGTTCGACCAGATGAAACTTTATATGTACTCTCTAGGAAGTTCAATATGTGAGAGCAACCAAGTCTACTTAACTGTTTGTGATGGCTTAATGAATCCTTTATTTGGACAACAGAATTGAAAATGATAAACACTCTGTATTGTAATGTCTCTGTATGTGGAAATACTGTCTTGTCACTACAGTATTACCTTAGAATGGGCACACTTCGTGACTGTCTTGTGAGCTGTTTGCTATTCCTCCAGGAGGAATAGCATGTTAATGAATATATGTTAAATTGTCAGCTTATTTATTTTACAAAACCCAGTTGTGGTACCAGTAACCAACAAAACTTAAGGAATTTTCCTCTAAACAAGAAATAATGGTGGTGGTGGTTGTGTGTGTGGAGTCGGTTCCAATGCACAGTGACCCTGTATAGGGTTTCCAAGGCTGTACATTTTTATGGCAGAAGAAAGCCTTATCTTTCTCCTGTGGAGCAACTGGTAGATTCAAACTGCTGACTTTGGGGTTAGCTGCCCAACTCATAACCCACTATGCTACCAGGCCTCCTTAAAAAAGAAATAATACAAGAGCATTATTAAGAGACAATTCTGTCTAATATTCTTCATTCTATTTCCAATGAAGGACTTATATGACTGAAATGAAATACTGAGGTTAAAAACTGAAAACTCTGGTCAATTCTTCAAAATACTGGAATTCTTTTAATGATGATGTTGGGATCATATACACTTTATGGGATGACTGTGTTACAGCAAAATTCATCTGTCTATATTTTTATTTAGGAAACATAGTTTGACTCACATAGGAAATCATGTAACAGTGAGTCATCTCTTAACATATTTCTAAATCTAAATGTTTGGCATGGTGTAAACGCAACATCAAAATATTTCAGTGAATTTGCACTGTTTAATCATATCTTAGTTACTATGTAAACTCATCTGAAATGTTACAAAAATAAATGATAAAACAGAAGTTTAAAAGTGAAATATCATTTCATGAACTCTCCCAAATAATATTTTATCATTAGCATAGACATAATATCCTTTAGATGAGATGAAAAGGGAAAAAAATGTATTTAATTTGTCAGGTTTTTAAAGTGTGGTTGCTTTGTTATTAGGATTCAAAATATTCAGCATAGTATTTGGCAGAGCTGTTTTCCTTCAGTTTTAACCCTCCAGCTTGATTTTTTAATAAAAAGTGGAATGACTTTATTTTATGGTAGTGACTATAAAAATAAAACATGGGTGTTTGTTTTTACTGAAGTCTTATTGAGCTGTTTACCCTAAACCATAACCTATAAGTAGCTATCAAACTAGAGGCTCATTTAATGATTTCAGACCAATTTAGGCATCAGTGTACTTTGACACAAATAATCTGTGTCAAATCAGCTCTAGCGTTAAAAAGAAAAAAAAAAAAGGTTCACTTTTCTACAAATCTAAACAATCTAAGCAAAATGTAACTTTACTAAGATCCAGAGATGTAAATAAATGTTCCTTGCCCAGAAAGTATTTTAAAGTTGAAAGACTCTTCTAAATGGGGCTAAATTAGGTCTGTGAGTAATTTCTAAATATAAAATTCTGAAATTACTTTGAATCTGGAAGATTGATGTCTTCTATCAGATTGACATTTCCCCCTTACAAATGAAAATGTTAACTACAATCCTTAATCCCACTTTACCAACTATAAAAATTTCTGGAATGATGCCTGCCTGAGAACTGTTAAAAAAGGCAATATTGGGCATCATAATCACTGGTAGGGACAAAGCGATACCCACTGGGAGTCCCAAATGTAAGAATTGAGGCCATTTATTTGATAATGAAAGATGGCTAGGATTTGTTTCTGCATGGACTCCTGATGTCTACACTGCATACGTGGCTAAAGGTTACTATTTCATTGTTACCAATATATACACAGTAGGGATTTAGAGAGAAAACCATATATAATAGTCAATCACCTACTATTAATGGTGATTTATAGATAACTTTTTAAAATTACTTAGATTAGATATAAAAAAAAAAACATTACCTTTCTAAAAATTCTGAATATCAAGTACACCTATTTATTATTAACTCATTTTCAAGTTAAATGAATTAGAAATTAGCCTTATATATTAAAGAGTAGAATTGTGATGAAAGAAGATTTAGATTTTATTCTCAACAACTCTCACCCACCTACTGCCGAGTCAATAGAATGAAAGGGAGGAAGAAACTGGAGGGGCTAGTCACCTGACTGCCAGCCCTAACTAGGTGTCCAGATAAAGAATGTCTATTCTTAGCTGAGGTTGTTCTCGATGGTTCACTGTGGTTCAGGTTATCTTTCCCAAGAAAGAACTCGGAAATTGTGGTGCTAAATTGTAGTCTTGAATCTCCAAAGATCTCATAGGGATCTGAGTTTTGTTAGAAGTGATAGAAAGACTCTAGAAGACCTGAGGTTTAGACCAATGACAACCTAGAGCCAGATTAATACTCCAGTAACCACACCTACCCCAAAGCACTGAGCCAGGAATTGTTCTAATGTTAATGCTAAATTGCTCAGACTTGATTTCCACCCCGGCTCCAAAAAGAACCCAAAATATTCAGGTTTAGAATTTGATAAATTTGAAAGGCAAGGCAAGTTAATTAGCTCTCACTTAGGCTGAGATTTGTTTTCACTTAGCTTAAGCCAAATCTAACGGTTTCTTAAACTTGGAAAGAGTCCCTTCTTGAAGTATTCCTCTCTGCAAATAAGCACTTGATACATGTGACCTTAGAGTTCCTACTCAGTACAGATGGTGTTGCAACTTGAATGTTTGATGACTGTCTTCTGCTTTCATCAAACACTTCCCCCTCCCCTTTGGATTTCCTCTCTGAGTGCACATTTACATACCTCCAATCACCTAACAGCATTATAATTGTATATATATATATATATATATATTTTTTTTTTTAATTTAGAAAGCATTTGAGCACCTGAAATATACACTATGGATATAAATAGTATTTTTAATGATTCACTGAAGCTACAATCTGATTTATACATGGGATCAAGGCCATGTATTGGGCATTATGTTTTATTTCAGAAGATTTCTTTTCAGAGTAGCTTTTTTTATTGTAAGCAAATTCTCTTGTATTGTTATTTTTTTATTTTCTACATTATGTATGTACTATTAAAGATCACTTTTGGTGCTTGAATTCTGTGATTCATGGATTCTATTTCTGAAACAATATGCAAGGACTCAAGTATAGCCATTCTTTAAAAGAGCAATCAATGGATGATCTAGCACAGAGAAATGGCACACATTATGGAAGCATTAATTACACAGGGATGGGTAAGGTGGTTAAGGGAACCAACAAGGGATAATGAAAGAAATCAGGGTTAGCAACACACAAGATGTTGCCATTCCTAGACCTGAAGCAGTTTCAGGAAATCAGCAAGAACTGTAGGAGATGCCACTGGACAAGAGCTATGGTCTTCAGTAAAGAAACAACTACTGCCAATCTACAAGGAGGGCACCTTCAGACCCCTTTCCTACTCTTTGGTCTTCTGCCTATTCTTCTTGTCAATCAAACAAAGCTGGAATCCAGATAGCCAGGGGTAATGGAGCCTATGACTCACAGACCCTGAGTGACACGTAGACCTAGAGGAGCAAATGGGAACTATCTAACATAAGTATGTGAGAAGCATGTTTGGGTTTATTTATTAATTACACTAACACAAAATTTCAAACAGCAATATAAACAGTCCCTTTTCTAATCTTTTACTCCAAATAGACATAAACTAGCAAGGTTGGAGAACAGGAATCCGTATGTATGGAAGAGGATAAAATATAGATTCCATTTCCAAAATACTTGATCCTGCTTCCCTGTGGTTCAACATTTACATGGACCCAACTCCAGAGGCAGATTATGTGATTGGAATAGAGAAAGGGAATCAGACTGAAGCAACTTCCTGTTTATCCTGCCCACATAGTACAAAATAATAGCTATTCTTGAGCAGAATGAGAAATATATATATATATATATATTGGTTTTGAAATTAATTAAATTCTTATCTTTAGGAAGGATCACTAAGAGAGAAACGTCTAGAAAGGCTTCAACTAACAGCGCCGAGGCCAGGCCATATTCTCAAACTTAACATAGCTTCATATGGTGTGCTTAGTGATTATGAAAGAAGAGTTTATATAGTAATTCAACATTTCTTCATAGTCTGACATACCAATTTTTTTAAAAAATCAGGAAAACAAATTAGAATAAAGTGGAAAATGTTGATGAACATGCAATTCCCAAGGCCATCACCAATGCTGCGCTTTCTGCTACCACAGAATTTGTCTTTACTCCTTCTTTACCCACCACACTTCATCCTCTTCAATAACACACAGCTCTTAGCACACACCCTGCTCTTCCTGCTACTGAGTCTGATTTTCTCTGATGGTCATGCTCAACCTTTCTCCTTTCAGTGAACTCAAGATTTAGCCAGGAAGTTAAAGCTCTGTGTTACCACTGGAGTTTTCTCAGACAAGTGATTTCACCTCTCTGAGTCTCAGTTTCCTCATCTATAAAATAAGGATGATGAAATTACCTTCCTCCATAATTATTTTGGGAGCCCTGGTGTGGTGCTGTAGGATAAGTACTTGACTACTAACTGCAAGATCGGCACTTGAAATCCACAAACTGTTCCTCAAAACCCTATATAGG